CCCTAAAAACTATGAGGTCTGTGCAGTGTCTATGACATCTATGTACCAAGTGTCATTGAAATGTGATGATTACTACTTGAAATATCAAAAGCTGAAAATTAATTAATTATGCAAATTAGCTAATTAATATATACTGATATTACCCTAAAAACTATCAGGTTTGTGCAGTGTCCTATGACATCTATGTAACAAGTTTTATTGAAATGTGATGATTAGTACTTGAGATTTCAATGGAAAAGCCGAAAATTGATTAATGATTATGCAAATTAGGTAATTAATATTGCACAGATTTTTACCCAAAACTAATCAAATCTGCGCATTAGTTTGGAGCATCTGTGTGCCAAGTTTCATCAAAATCCAATGAGTGGTTCTTTAGATATCAGTGGAACAGTCATGAAACAGCTAAAAATCAGCTAATTATCATGCAAATTAGGTAATTAATATGCATGGATTTTTACCAAAACCTAATCAAATCTGCGCATTGGCCCAGAGCATCTATGCACCAAGTTTCATCAAAAACTGATGTATGGTTCTTGAGATATCAGTGGAACAGACGGACACACACACACACACACACACACACACACACACACACATACAGACACACTAACTGCAAAGACTCCCTTTTTGTGCTTCGTCAAAAACAAGATGGCTGCCAGTCGGCCATTTTGCATCGAATCGCTAAACCACTACATGTGCATATGTCCCACATAAGGTACTAGGGACATACAAAGAATGAACGGAATCGGTCCACAGGATTCGGAAATATGACTCTTGACAGACTGACGCACGGCCGGACGGACAGACTCAGAAACTCACGGATGGTCGGGGACATGTATCCTAACATGTATGATCTATGTACTAAATTTGAATGAAAACTGACAAAGCATGTCCAAAATACAACATTTTTCAAAAAACAAGATGGCTGCCAGTCGGCCATCTTTGATCCAATTGTGAAATAAATCGTCATGGACATGTATCCTAACATGTATAATCTATGTACCAAGTTTTAATGAAAACTGACAAAGCATGTTCAAAATACAACATTTTCAAAAAACAAGATGGCTGCCAGTCGGCCATTTTGAATCGAATCGCTAAACCACTGCATGTGCATATGTCCCACATAAAGTACTAGGCACATGCAAAGAATGAACAGAATCGGTCCGAGGGATTCTGAGATATGACTCTGGATGGACACACGGATGCACAGACGCACGAACGGACGAATTATAAGTCCCCGTTTTCGGACTTTGTCCGAACGGGGACTTATTACTTGGCATGGTCAGTAAAATGTTTTCAGTACATTCAGTACAAAAACAAAGAAAACTGATATCTACAAATAATGCTGAAAAGAGTTAATTTGTATGCAAATTACCTAATTAGTATGCACAGATTTGTACCAATTTAATTACTGAGTTCATCACAAACTGTGTACACAATTTCATCATAATACACACACCCACCCACACAGACAAATGACAGACAGACAGACAGACAGACAGACATGTGCAGTGCGACAACCAATAATCTCCTCTCCCTTTTTGTTACTCCTTTCTACTCACCCAAAGGTGGTTTGAGGTACTTTGGTTCAATGCCCTGTGCAATTTGTAGCAATGCACATGATAAGTCCTTCACTACGTGGTCCACGGTACTTGGTGTACTGCAGCGAGTGGAGCCAGTGGGAGTTTCCGATCGTTTCAGTTCTGACACCCTGATATGGAAAAAGTATTAATATTATTATCAAGCACCAATGTCGTTTGAAAATGAATTTCATCTAAACAAACAAACAATTCATTGTAAACAAACACTGTTAGCGATGTAGTAGTTGGCGTGTTTGCCCAGAAACAGGGATACTGCACACTCAGCAGAAAAAAGAAGGAAAAAAAAATAATAATAAATACTGCCCACATGCCAGGCTTGTGGCATTCAGTGTTGGGAATATGGCATCCAGTCTGAAGGGTTGTAATAGCAGTTAGTCCTGTGTGAAGATTTTGATTTTGACCGTCTTCCCACAGACCCTAAAAATTTTAACATCGTAAATTCTGGTGGTACGTAATTAATATTGTAATAAAATGTGCATATTTTTCTGTTTCTTCATTGTAAAAGTGTGTTGTGGAAATCAATGACGCAACAAATTTCACAATTTTAATTTCCCCAACGAGACACTCCCCTCAATCTGGCACACGGTAAAATAAAATTGTTCTTTACATAAATCTTCGGGGGGGGGGGGGGGTGTTGATCAGCTAAGCACCCACACCCCAATACACAAAAGTAGCCTAGGTACTAAGTCAGACAAGTAGGTTATTTATAAGGACGTTTATTTATAAGAATGTTTGTTTTTTTAAGATTTTGGTGATACAAAATCTGTGCAAAAGCAGACACAGAATACAATCTGATGTGAGCAAGCAAACCATACAGCAAATATGGAATTAACTCTTGATTCTATTTTTGTACATTCAGTGGGCGTGTTAGTGATTATGTGATTTTCTATAGTGTAAAACACAAAGCAGGGTACTGGTCAGATAATATAATTGGTTATAATATAGCTACGGTGATAACTATTCATCAATGGTGATGAATGGAAATCTATTTTTTTTTATCAGAAATGTTATTATGACAACAAACTGACTGTCATAGTAAAATTCAGGAAGAGAAATAGTAACCATTTATGTCCATGTGTAAATTTAGTAGTGAGGTTTTCCACTTTGAACATGTGACATGGGACACACAGGTATGAATAGGATTACCAAGGTGGCAAGTTGTAGTTACAGCGAGCTGATTCGCTTTGTCAAAACTATCCCACATTCACTTTAATTCGGAATTTTGATATGGTCTACAGAAACATTGAACCTTGAACTTGAGCTGCATTGAGCAGACGCCACTTATGTCCTCCAAAAAAAAATATAACCATGTCAGGAATATGATTTTTTAACATTAAAATGATTGACATTTGTATCTGATCGTCAAACAAGTACTTGTCCATATTGAGAGATATTGCTCTGGAACAGCATTCAAAATCAGCCATTTTGAATACATGTACATATATAACATGATGTATAACGAATATATATAAAATTTGAATATAATCAGTCAAAGCATTTAAGAGATATGGCTCTGGAAGCCCAATCATTAAAACAAAATGGCCGCCAGTCAGCCATTTTGAATCCAATCTGAAAAACAAAATGACTTGCATCAGGAACCCGTAATGTCTAATGTATGTACCAAGTTTGAACGAAATATATCCATAAATGCTTGATATTTGATGATTTTCTAGCACAAAAATAGTCACCATTTGGCCATTTTGAATAGGATCGTCAAACCAATACATCTGTTTATCTATGACATGATGTATAATGAATATTTAAAATTTGAATATAATCAGTCAAAACAAGTCCGAGATATGGGTCTAGAAGCCCATTCATTAAAGCAAAATGGCCACCAGACAGCCATTTTGAATCCAATCTGAAAATTAAATGATGTGCATCAGGAACCTGTAATGTCTAATATATGTACCAAGTTTGAATGAAATCCATCCATAAATGCTTGATATTTGATGATTTTTAGCACAAAAATGGCCACCATTTGGCCATTTTAAATTGGATCATCAAACCAATATATCTGTTTATCTATGACATGATGTATAATGAATATTTAAAATTTGAACATAATCAGTGAAAGCAAGTCAGAGATATGGCACAAGAACAACCTTCATTAATACAAAATGGCCGCCAGTCAGCCATTTTGAATCTTATCTGAAAAACAAAATTATTTGCATAAAGGTCCCATAATGTCTAATGTATATACCAAGTTTGAACAAAATCCATCTGTAAACAGCCGAGAAATGCTCGATTTTTAGGATTTTTTAGCACAAAAATGGCCGCCATTCGGCCGTCTTGAATCAGATCGTGAAAAAATGACGTGCATATGTATAATATCATGTATGATGTATGTGTGAAGTTTGATTGTGATTGGTCCAGGCATTTCTAAGATACAGGTCCGGACGCATGCACAGATACACGGAGACACAGAGGTTAAAATATAAGTCCCCGTTTTCGGACTGCGTCCAAACGGGGACTAAAAAGCCCTTCTCAAAGCTTCAAATAAAAATTTCTAAAAAACACACAAAACAGTGGCCCCTTATTTTCATCCCCATAAAACAATTTCTTACGAAATCTCAAAATGGTCAAAGTGGATAATAAGTACCTGTCTTTTTGTTTCTGTGGTAATGAATGTTCTCCAACTGACACTTCATTGATGCCTAACTCCATTGATTCAGCGCCTGTATCCTTGTCATCCATCTTGTGCCGGGCCCACCACGGTCCCCACGTCAACTCTCGACATTGCATATCATAACTACCATTTTCTATAGCTTTGATCCAAGCATTTCTGTCTTCAATCTTAGCATACCGAAAGAAATGTACAAGTTGTAGTATTACTACAATATCTGAACACTAGAGAATAATTTTGTTTTCCTTTTTCAGAATGAAATATTACTAGTGTAGCTTGGATGCAATTATTCGCCGTGAAGATGCTCAGGCATTTACACTTCAATGATGAATTGTTTTGGACGCCGGTGAATATCATTATGAATGATAATACTGAGTTACAAAACATGAAAAAATTTAAATTCAGCACAAGTCAAATTTACACTACCTTCAGACAGCCTAATGACCCGGTGTAAATCCTCTCTTCCAAATCGAGCAACTGTTCACGCAGACTCAACTCCAAAGTCTCTGACCCCGCCGATGAGTCCTCGTGCCCTTCTGACACCAGTCCAGTTTTCTTGCCACTCAACTTGACAATCACCTGCTTGGGTTTAGCCGGCTTCACATCCGTGCTAGCTGCAGCGACTGCTGATGGAGCTTCATGATCTGTTTTCGGAATGCGCAACTTCTCAATAGGGCATTTCTGCACGCCCTCCATGATGCTTTTTTTGTGTAAGAGAAGGGCCTCTTTTAAGGCGCCTTCCCTGTAACCACGAGGGTTCAACGTGTTTATAAGTCTATCAACATCATCTGTGTTTGCGTAAAATGACCACTGACTGTGACTGAAGTTGAGCATGCATGGGTCAAAGTTTTCAAGTTTAGGAGCTTCAACAGCGTTCAATTTCACTGAACCGTTTTGAGAGCCACTCTCATTTAAAATAGTTTTTCCGTCTCTGCTTTCACCGTTTTCTTCTCTCATTTCCAAATTGTTTTCCTCATTTTCTTTGTTACTAGCCGTCGATGTATCACAGTCCTCACCTTTATCCGCAGATGACGCTTCGCCAACTTGCTCTTTTGATTCCTGAGATGAGCTGTAAGGTGTGAATGGGTTAGATTTAAAAGTCTGTTCTACAGGATGCAGAACGTCTTCATCCAAGTATTCCCTGTCACATTCCACAAACAATCCTGGGATGCTTTGGAATTTCCAGAAACGACGATAGATCCTATCCTGACCGAGTGGAGTCAGATTATACTTGCATATCATGTCCTGCAGTTGTTCAAACAACTCTCGATCCTTCTTATGAAACTCCTTTCTTTTCTTGACTTCTTCTTCTAGCAGTTTCTTTTGTCTTTCCTTCTCCTCCTCCGGAGCGAGTCCCGCACCATCATTGTCATCAACTTCCATCTTCTCTTCTAACTCCTCTTCTTTCTCCATTCCCCTAGTCAAGCGTCTCTTCGGTTTATCATCTTCATCAGCCTCCATTTTCTCCTTTCCCAATTTCCCATTTTCATTATTTCTGCAAATCAGCAAAATCAAGTGATGTAAAACTTTAACACAGAAACAGATATTGATCAACGAACTTCAAAGTAAATCAAATAACTAAGGGAAATGTACAGGAATTTAATTAATGCTGGTGGTTGGTGGAACATATCATTACCACAAGCTTTTTAACTGACGGGGCACATGACAGCAAAACAACCTGTCATTACTGGCTACATATATTCAGAAATATAAAAAAGTTGGTATGGTATTTATTAATGAGTGTTAATCATATGCTCATCCTTTTTGAAACAGGGCAGAGTGAACTTTATCATACGAGTTTGTGGTTTGAATTGGAATGGTGAACTTAACAAGAAATTTTAACATAAATAATGCATCCGCCTTTGAATAGAGAGATTTATTGCATATCTGATTGTTGTCTGAATATTCAATTCAATAGAGGTCGATCTGATCTTTGAAAAGCATACAAAATTTAAAAAAACTTACTGGGGGGTTGTATCAAAACACACACATCTGCATGTCACTCGCAGTACAAAAGTTGTACAAATTCAAACATGTTTTTGTTGGCAGCAGAGAATGGTTGACTGACTGTCAGTGTAGCTATATGGCAGTTACACGTACACATCCAATTAAATTATCAATGTAAAAAACGATCACAGTAACTTTTTCCACGGAATGTAAACCACTTAATTCATTTTTTAGGATTTTCTCTTGTGAAATTAAAGCAATTAACAGTGTATAAAAACATTGGTAAACTATATAATTCTCAATCCTTTTGTTTTTAAGTTTAATTGCCGTACTATACATACTTGTCGTTCGTCTGTCCCTTTCCCTGCTCATCCTTTCTTAACATTTCTTCTTTCAGCATTTGTTTCTTTAATTTGCGTTCCTTTACTCTTTCTTTCTCCTTGGCTCTCTCTTCTTGTCGTTGTTTGTATCTGGAAGGAATAATGCAGTCAAATGGAAGGAATGTAACATGTACAAAGCTGCCAACTTTTGAAAATCAGAATTAGTACTCAGCACCTACTAAATTCGTATTTTCAATCCCAAATTCGTATTTTTTTAAGTTGCAGTGTTTTACCTATATAAAGACCTGATCATGTGTTATCGTAGCGTTAATGTACTACCATAGGGTGGGTTAAGGTAAATGTTGTCTCTAAACATACATCAAACTGTACGGGTTAATTACAATGCATTGATTTAATTAATAAATCAACAAGAAACAAGGAAATTTGAATTGTTGCAAAATTAAATTTTAAGATAATATCCAAACGATCATCAACGACGACGTGACATAACTTACTTCGCGATGTTATACACCAATTTTACCAATAATAGCCCTTACTCTGTCATGATGCCATTCAAAAAATGTTACTTCTTTTTTTGAAATAAAAGTAAAATTTGATTTAGTTTTATCGGGAGTGGATATTTTTGATCACTCGATCGCTTCGGTAAAAACCTTGTCCCACCATGATGTTCGTGACACATTGGTTGACCGGCATTTGTTCTTTGACCCGATGGGCCAAGAATGCCATTAACCAATCAGAATGCTGCATGGTATTGCCGGTAGAACCCAGTTTTCCGAATGGTAGTGTTTATAAAAATAACATTATGGAAGTTAAGCAATGTCGTAGCACATGTGTTGACATTGATTCCAAATGAAAACTGCATGATGGTTTTCGAAAGAGGTGATTAGCAATTTTTAAAAGGTAAAATAGGTCTTGAAAGAAGAGTTTTTACATGATTCGCGATGGTTACAGTTCAAATGTATTTTACCCAATCACGCAATAAACATGCTTTTTTTTCTTGAGTAGCGTAAACTGATCGTGAACTCCGCTTTAACCATGTTTTATGCTATTTTAAATTTCGAAGATTCGTATTTATTTGATGCGTTTTTGTATTATCGTATTCCCATTGTATTTCCGTAACAAATATGAATTTTTTGCAATGGTTGGTAGCTCTGCATCTGGTTTGCAAAACAACATAATGAAATATCTGAATCATATTTACCAAAACATTTTAGGGTTAACACTTTGTAAGGTTGAAACACGCGGACAGGTGAGTAAGCGGCAAAAAGTCATTAACAGATTTCACACGTTCTGAACACAAATTAATTTTTTATGGAATGTTTTTTTTTTTAGTCATCTCACCTAGCAGAAGCCTCTTCCTTGCCTCGTCTCTGTTCAGCTGTCTGGTTCTCTCGCCACTCCTTTCTGGTCGTCCGCCATTTCTCGAAACTGTCTTCTATATAATCCCGACAAGTGACAAACGTCATCAGATGCCCGCACAGCGCAGACAATATCTTCAGCTTTTCACCTATTTAGAGTAATAACAGTGTTATTAGTACAGACCCACCGTCCCTTCTCAAACCATGTTCTAGATTACAAAAGTACATAATTATATTTCTACCACAAATCAACATTTTATACTAATAAATCATTTTTTGTTGTTGCCTAAATGACAAATGGAAGCAATGTCATTCACACTAACAACAATTTTTTGCTCTCCCCCAAGCAACTCATTTTTAGGCACCTCCTTCTTGAATTGAATAATTGTCTGTAGAACAAGTGTCAATCGATTGCTGATCTGATAACATTTGAATGAAATTTGTAAACTATTGGTCTCATATAGTTAGAAGATTCAGTGGGCATATATTAGAAGATACATTTTAATCACGCTGCTGCCAGGGTAAAGGACCACATGTAATTAAGGCCATCCAGGGATTTAAAATTCATACTGAATATATTGTCTTATACAATACATACCAGGTGAGAGGTCAAATAAATTTCCAGTGGACAATGTCCTTAATATCCCAGACTCCGTCATACGAAACTCTAATCCGGCATCATCCAGGGGTGTATATCCACCCCTCTGTTGGTAGCGGTATTTGGCGTCGGCACTGTTCGTCTTGGCACCGGAAGATAGGAAATGGAGTCTAAGAACTTCAGATACTGTGTATGGATCGAGAGTAAGCTGTCGCAAAGGTACACCTGCAATACAGGGAAACTATTTGGTAATAGGTCAACTAACAAGCTTACAGAAAACACTAATTTTTTTTGCTAAAATTTTATTGCTATATTTTGCATATTTAATAATTTCGAACCAAACGAACATAATTTTTCATTGGTTACAATTCTTTATCAAAATGAAATAAATAAGGAAAATAATTATGCACATTGAAATGTGACAAAACTTGAGTTTGTCATCCAAACTGGTCAATGGCCGATGGCCGTATCCTCCTTCATTTCTGTACAAATTGAGAACAAGTTCAATGACATGACTATTACCTTGGTGTAGCTGTGGCCATACTGCAGCCACAGATGCTGCGGCGGTAACTGCATTGTATGTCCTACCCATGTCTTCATCTAGTGTTTCAGTTAAATCAGTAGCTGGAAG